GAGGAATAGCAATTATGTACTTCATAGTACAACCGCTGTTAATAATAGCTAGAGCCTTTTTCCTCTGGCAGGTTTGAGCCCTCAGGCTTGTCTCCTCAGCCCTCTCTAGAAAAGTCAGCACCCACCTTTGCCCAGGGTCTTCCTACCAAAACCAGTTTTTAAGGTGAAGTGAGCAGAGGATTCGAATGATACAGGCCAGGCCTGGGTACCATCTTTCTGCTTTGCAAACAGTTGAGTTGGACAAGGATTTGGGCAATTTGTGGACTTCAAGGTCATGCTGTTCTTATGTGGGTTTGTTGTTGTTGTGGTTGTTTTCTGTTTGTTTTTTAAGCTTAAAACCTCATAGAGCTACTGAAACCAGGAAAAGAACATATTTTTTCTTTTCCTCTTTTCATCCTTCCCTTTCTTCCTCCCTCTCTTTCTTCCTTTCTCCTCTCCTCCCTCCCTTCCTTTCTTCCTCCCCTCCTCCCTTTCTTCCTTTCTCCTCTCCTCCCTCCCTCCCTTCCTTTCTTCCTCCCCTCTTCCCTTTCTCCCTTCCTTCCCATAGGCTCTTCCTCTCTCCCTTCCTGCCCCTTCCCTCCCTCCCGTTCTTCCTTCCTCTTTTCCCCTCTCTTCTCCCTCTCACTCTCCTTTTCTTCCTCTTTCCCTTACCACTCCCTCCCATTTCTTCTTTCCCTTCTTCCCTCCTTTCCTTTTTCTCTCCCTCCATTCTTTCCTTCTTCCTTCTCTTCCTTTCTCCCTCCCCTCCCTTCCCCTGCCCTCCCCTCCCTCCCTTCCTTCTTTCCTTCCTTCTTTCCTTCCTTCCTTCCTTCCTTCCTTCCTCCCTCCCTCCCTTCCCTTCCTTCCCTTCCTTCCCTTCCTTCTCTTCCTTCCCTCCCTCCTTTCTTTCAACATACCCTCCATCCTGTGCATCATACCAGATGCTGGTGAGTCATGGAGAGTGGGACAGAGCTGACCCACTCGAATGGAGCCCACAGAATGCATTGGTGCCCATGGATCTAAATCCCCTTCACAGATAATTGCCCACTGTAGATTCAAGTTTATAAGTTACCTGCATTCAACTCTAGGAACCTGTAGAAAAAGCCAACCTAGTTTTATTTTTCCTTAATGATGATTTTAAGGATCAAAGGGTTTCCCAAGTAAAAAATAAGTACAGCAAAAAGAATTATTGGGTTCATACAGATAAATGCAAGAAAAGGTGCTTGGTTGGAAACACAGACCTGTCTGGCTGCCGTCGGGGGTGCACCTCAGCACCTAGGCTCTGATCAGCTTGCTGCTGCAGAGATGTGCCTTCTCTGGACTTCTAAATCTGTGGTTTAGTTGGGGCACTGAGATAGCTGAATTAAAAGCCAAACCAACTCTGTGTGGATCCAGGGACCTCCCTGGGGACTAGAATTGGATGTGTGGTCTATGAGCAGTGCTTCCAGGAGCCCCCTGCTAGGCAGGCAGCAGACACGGCTGGCCGTTTGCTCATGGCTACAATTCCTCTAGACTTCCTCTGGAGTCTCTAATGAGACTCCAGAACAACCTTCTTTCTTCTGTCCAAGGAAATTGTTAATTATACAGTTTATCTTTGAGAGGGAGACAGAATGAATGAAGTTTGGGCTCTAAAAATCTGGCCATGGACTGAAGCCAGTGGGGATCAGTGTGGGAGGAGAGCTGGAGCTTTCATCCGGGAGGTCTGCCCTGCCCCTGTATGGATGCTAAGTAGTTCTACCACCCTTTGTCTTCTCCCGGACATTCCAAGGGGGACCTCCTGGCCCTGCCTGCAGTCCCTTGCTGGGAAGTAGGTCACTTCCCTCCTGCCCAGTGGCAGCCACCATAGGAGTCAAAAGCTGAACCTCAACAGCAAAAAAAATGCAAGGGAGACAGATCCAAGGAGTGGGAGGCTCTTCAGTTAAGATTTTGTGCAACCGGTATCTCAGCCTGCCCTTTCTTCTTAAGAAATGGTGGTGGGTGAAGACCCTGCCTCATCTCCAGGTGTCCTCAAGCCCGTCCATCTCCATGAGTCCTCTTCCCAATGGCTCCGTCTCCACGCTCTGGCACCCAGTCCTGCACTTGCCCCGTCCACCTTGCCAGGCGCACATCAGTGTGGTGCTGCCTCCCTCTCACCTTGGAGGGGACTTCAGAGAATTTCAAGCAGGCCAGGTTAGGGCCCAGACCAGCTGCCTCCCTAGGCCTGTGGAAACAGTGCCTGTGGACCTCTTTGGTTAAACCTCTGATGAGGTGTTGCCAAGAAGGTCAACCAGGAGATAGAATGTTCCTAAATGCCAACCAGTGAGGAAATTAGCCAAAACAGAGGCACAAAGCCATACCTCCAAAGACACTCATGCTCACCTGGCATTTGTTGGTGCGTGATTGGGAGGACGTGGGATGGAAAGCTAGGGCTATCCCCATTTCTGTCCACCTTTCATTGGGAAGGGGTTTTGGGAGGCAGGCTCTGGAACGTGTCGTGGGCGTCACTGGCCTGGGAGAGTTCACTGCCCTGGCTTCCTGAGTGGAACTCAGGCTTCCTTTCACGTCCACTTTCCACCTATGAAGTTGAGGAAATGGCAGTGGAGGGAGATGAATAAGATGGCCCTTCCAGGCTGGACACTTTGGGGACTCTATTCGGGTCATAAAGGGCAGGTAGTTGCACCAGCCAGGGTCAGCTCAGGTGAGGACAGGGGTTTGGCCGAGGTGACAGGATACCCAAGAAGGTAGAATCAGACCAGAATCAGACTTGGGGCTTTGTGCAGTCACAGCTAATCAATGAGGAGGGAAGAACCAGGCTTGGTGGGGGAGGGACGCCAGGAGAGAGGGAAGCGCGGGGAATCTCCACCGCCTCTGACTTAGACTCGCCAGCGGGTGGCGCTGTAGGACAAGGAGCTGAGGGTCTCTCCACTGAGCACCGCTTCCGCCCTGGGCTGGGAGCACTCAGAGGACTCCAGAGAGCACCCACGGTGGTGCTCCCAGGGCATCTGCCACAGCCCTAGTGGGTCCCCCAGCAAATGCGGCAAGGAGTGATTGGAGAAAAAAAAGATTACCTGGCTGAGCCTGTCCTGCCTGCCTCCGCCCAGGTCCTGGGGAAAAGCAGGCCTGGGAGGGCATCTCTGTTGCCACAATGGGGCCAATTTTGGGTTCTTCAGGAAACTCTTCTGCCTCCTGATGTGCCCCCTCCCGTTTCCATAGGGGATTTCAGAGCGAAAGAGTGGGTTCGATTCAAAATACCCTTCAGCTTCTGGATGTATCTGGAGGAAAGCGTTCTGTCCCCGTGAGCGTCCTGCCCTGCCCAGTCCCTTAGTCACTCACAGGGCTCTGGTTGATGCTTCTGCAGTGTGCTTTAGTGATAAGAAACTAATAATTCATATTAATCTATTGCTTAAAAGTGCCAGTTCCTGTGCTCATCCCTTCATATACATTCTTTAATGTAATGGTCATCTAATATAGCTTGAAGACACAGTCTGTGATGTGTGGGGCCCTGTCTCTGAGATGCACAGAGAGAGGCTAGGACTGTTGCTCAAGATCACACGGAAATTAATTGCTGGGCAGAGCTAGGTTTCGCGTTCTTCTGTGGCATGGCGTGCTACCGCCTGCTCAGGGCCAGCCCACTCAGATTCTGCCTGCTTGGGAGATTGAAGGAATGAAGGAAAATGAGTATTGAAGAATTTTGGCTTCCACAGCTGGGTAGATGGTAGTCTCACTTATGAGATGGGAAAGACAGAGAGAGAAGTAAGTTTGGCAGAAAAAAAAATCAAATGTCTGCCTTGGCCGTGTTGGTTAACAATGAATGTCAGACACTCAAGGGGAGACGCTGAGTGGGCAGCTGGATAAATGAGTATAGGGACAGGGCGTGGCGGCTCATGCCTGTATTACCAGCACTTTGGGAGGCTGAGGTGGGCAGATCACGTGGTCAAGAGATCAAGACCATCCTGGCCAACATGGTGAAACTCGTCTCTACTAAAAATACAAAAATTAGCTGGGGATGGTGGCCCGTGCCTGTAATCCCAGCTACTCAGGAGGCTGAGGCAGGAGAATTGCTTGCACCTGGGAGGCGGAGGCTGCAGTAAGCTGAGATTGCACCACTGCACTCCAGCCTGGGTGACAGAGCAAGACTCCGTCTCAAAAAAAAAAAAGAGTCTGGGGTTGCCAGGTTGAAGATAAACATTAAGAAATCCTCGGCTGGGGCCGGGGGCGGTGGCTCATGCCTGTAATCCCAGCACTTTGGGAGGCCGAGGCGGGCAGATCATGAGGTCAGAAGATCAAGACCACGAGGTCAGGAGATTGAGACCCTCCTGGCTAACACGGTGAAACCCCATCTCTACTAAAAATACAAAAAAAAAAAAATTAGCCTGAGGCACAGTGGGCGCCTGTAGTCCCAGTTACTTGGGAGGCTGAGGCAGGAAGAATGGCGTGAACCCGGGAGCTGGGGAGCTGCAGTGAGCCAAGATCGTGCCGCTGCAATCCCAGCCTGGGGCGACAGCGAGACTCTGTCACAAAAAAAAAAAAAAAAAAGAAAAATATTTGAAAAAAAAAAAAAAAGAAAAGAAATATTTGGCTGGGCGCGGCGGCTCATGCCTGTAATCCCAGCACTTTGGAAGGCCAGTGCGGGCAGATCACAAGGTCAAGAGATCAAGACCATCCTGGCCAACATGGTGAAACCCCGTGTCTACTAAAAATACAAAAATTAGCTGGGTGTGTTGGCACGCACCTGTAGTCCCAGCAACTCAGGAGGCTGAGGCAGGAGAATGGCGTGAACCCAGGAGGCAGAGGTTGCAGTGAGCTGAGATTGCGTCCCTACACACCAGCCTGGCAAGACTCCATCTCAAAATAAATAAATAAATAAAAGAAAATAAATCCTCAGATTAGAAATGATATTGAAAACTTGAAAATTTGCCTCCCTCAGAAAAGGCGTGGTTGGAATGTCTTGGAGCCAACTTGAGAGGTCTCTATCGGGCACCCTCATTTGATGGCTCTGAGGCTGGTTTGCTCACTGGTTTTCAAACGAAGACACAAAAGGAGGATGATAAATAGCATTTTTAATTTAAAATAGATCAGCATAAAATTTGCAGAGAGAAGCCAAAGAACACACAGAAAGACCGAGTGAGGAAGTGCCCAGGAATTCAGCTGAGAAGTTGGGTAGCCTGTGTTCGGCAGTCTACCCCCTCGCCCGGAAGGCTCTCTTTTTCCAGAGGGGGTTGACCTTCCAAAGTCAGTCCTGGGGGAGGAGTCCATCTTGGCCTGCTTGATTGACAGGGCCCCAGCACCGAGGAGGCGGGGGCAGGCTCGAATAATGAACCATTGGCTCTTCCTGCTGTCAGAGGTCCCAGAGAGATAATACTGCCGTGATGAGACATCAGGCATCCCAAAAACAGCAATTAAAACTCATGTTTGGAATAGAAAATGAGGGTTTTCAAAGCACGTCACTGTCATGCTTTCTGTAGCAAATACGCAGGTCGTTCTTAACACGTAATGGGCAGAGCCATGGAATCGACCCTTAGCCTGGAGTCTAAACAATTGTCTTGTAATTTGGGTTTGTCCTGGCAGGTGAGGGCTTGAGAAGAGGCAGGGTGAGCCTGCCCTAGGAGGAGGAGGAGAAGGAGGAGAAGGAGGAGAAGGAGGAGGAGGAGGAGGAGGTGGAGGCTCCAGGTAGAGAGGGTCACTGGGGCTAAGTGGAGACTAATGCTGGCTAACCTAAAAGGGGGGACTTTTACTGAAACCAATTAACCTAAGACTTGAATCTGAGCTCCTTGAAGCAGAACCCGCATAAAAATGGGGGAATGTCAGGGTTGGGGCAAGAGAGGGAGTCCTTCTAGGAATTTTCCATTCTGTCAAGATGGCTTCTCATGGCAGGGAGGGAGGGGTTAGGGGTGGGTGTAGTTGCCCATCCGCAGGGTCCCCTGGCGCACGGCACACTCTTCCCGGTGGGCTTTTAATGCTCTCTGGCGATGGGCTTCGGTGGGGAACGTATCCAGGTGGCGGCCCACCTGTGGACAGAAGGGAAGAGTGGGTGGGTGAGGGGAGTCTTTGGTGCAGCTCATTCCGGTTGCTCCCCTTGCCCACCCCCTACTTCAATCTTAGAGTAATGATAAAAATAGCCGTAAGAGGGAGGCAGTCACAGCAAGTGCTGTGAGTCTCCTGGTGCTGAGCTGCGAGGCAGAGAGCAGGGACTGCCCGGGAGAAGTGTTCGTCGTTCTGTCCAGCTCCTTGCTGGGGAAGATGCAGGCAGAATAAAAGTTGCCAGACTATCACCAGACGACCATGCAATGGGACCTAGTGGCCAGTGTCCTTCACACACTGCTTTTCCACCATTAAAAACCCCAAACGAGCCACCCTGTCCAAGGGGGACCTCCTGACCATATCTGCACTCCCTTGCTGGGAATTAGATCACTTCCCTCCTGCCCAGTGGCAGCCACCATAGGAGTCAAGAGCTGCACTTCAACAGCACCAGAAGCAGAGCTCAAGAATAAATTTAAAAAAAAAAAAAAAAAAAAAAAAAAAAAAAAAAGCAAGGGAGACAGATTCAAGGAGTGGGAGCCTTTTCAGTTAAGATTTTATGCAATCGGTATCTCAGCCTGTCCTTTCTTCTCAAGAAATGGTGGTGAGTGAAGACCCCACCTCATCTCCTCATGTCCACTGTGTCTGTTACATCACCTCCAAGTGCCACAAAATCCATCCCATTAACTGATCACAATATCCTCCTGCCTTGGCATTTCTCCTTTGGGATAACCTAAGGATGGCACAGGGTGGAAAGGGTTTGGGCTCACGTGGTCATTCCTGCATCTGGGCTTCTATCCATCTGTTAATTCATGAAATGCATGTTGATTGAACACAACTCTGTGTCAGATGTGGGGGATACAGCAGTAAACCAGAGAGACTCGGCCCTACCCTCATGGAGCTTTTAATCTAGAGGGAGAGCAGACATCCAGCAGTAACTACACAGCTATTACATTACAATGGACAGAGGGCTGGGGCATGTGCAGTGAGAACAAATTGGGCAGGTCTTGGGGAAGAGATGCATACAGGGGGTCTTGAAGGATGAGCTGGGATTCCAGGGCAAAGGGGGTAGCGTGCATGCTGGCCCTGGGATCCAAGAGAGCTCAAGTTTGTGAGGGGATGGGGTGGCCAGGTGGAGGGTGGGCAGGGCAGGTCCTGTTTGGATTTGCAGGAGCAGCCAAAGGCTCTGCAGTGGGTTCAGGATAAAGCAGGACCCATGCCTGGGACAGCCACAGGGTGCTTGTCAAGAATCTAGGCCAGGGTTGACCACCCTGGAGTGGTTACCTAAGCCCACAGTGCTGCAGGTTAGCATGAAGAAAGGTGACAGAAGAAGAAAACTGTGGGGAGAGAGGATGAAATATTAAAAGGGGGTAGAGGGAAGATAAGGAGCGGCTTGTAGGGAAAGTCTCTGTTCTCTGGACCCGGTGGAATCCCCCTTGGACTGTTTATCATTTCACAGACGAGGAAACAGAGGCCCAGGGCAGAGTGTGGTTCAGGGCTGCCCCCACAGGGAATTGGTGACCCCCAACCTCTGGGCTCTAAGTTCTGGATTCTTTCCAGAATATTCTGTCACAGCTGCTGCGCCTGCTGTGTCTAGGGTGCTCCCTACACCTCACTTGCTGAGGTGAAAGAAGGCAGGGGGCTGTGGAGGGTTGTTAGAAACCCATAAACATCAAATGGTGACCGGAGATTCTGTTCTTCCCGGAATAACCACGTTCTTCACCTTCCTGCGGACGTGGACCCCTTGGGGATGCTCTTTGGAGAGCCACGGGCCCTCTTCTTCTGGGGGAAAAAAATGCCTACAAGTGCTTACATAAAAAACAGTGCAGGCAATTTAGGAGGTTTCAGGGCCCTTTGCAAGTCCCTCTAGGGACCCTCCATGGCAGCGTTTCTCAGAGCTGTCCAGCCTCAGCCCAGCCGCAGCACCAGTCGCAGTCCCAGCCCCAGCCTCAGGTTTCAGATTTTTTAGGTTTGCCCTAGAATCGCCTTGGGGCTCTTGCAACCAAGGGAGAGGCCTGAGCCCAGCCTGAAAGCTACTGAGCCCCTCAGGTCGGGGCGCGTAGCACAGTCACCCAGTGCCTACCTGGGCCCAGGGCTGCATGTCTGCCATGCAACTCATTTCCATCAATCAAACCATGATCGTGTCCTCAGCTCAATCTCAACATTTCGGAAAAATGTCCAAGTAGCCTGACAAGGCACACTGAGAAGGGAAAAGGCCTTGCACAGTGTGTAGGAGGAAAATAGTCCGTGGACAAAGGGCTTCTAGTGACACCTTTGTGACCTTCTGGCGAGTGGTAGCCTGATTTTTACACCGTGGCATGATCTTCCTGAGGCCCGTGGCTCCTAAAAGGCAGCTAGAGGCCGGGCGCAGTGGCTCACACTTGTAATTCCAGTGCTTTGGGAGGCCAAGGCGGGCGGATCACTTGTCAGGAGTTTGAGACCAGCCTGGCCTGGCCAACGTGGCAAGACCCCATCTCTACTAAAAATACAAAAATTAGCCAGGCATGGTGGTGGGCGCCTGTAGTCCCAGCTACTCGGAGGCTGAGGCAGGAGAATGGCGTGAACCCGGGAGGCGGAGCTTGCAGTGAGCCGAGATCGCGCCACTGCACTCCAGCCTGGGTGACACAGCGAGACTCCGTCTCAAAAAAAAAAAAAAAAAAAAAAAGGGCAACTAGAGATGCTTAGGAAGACAGGTGCATCAGGGTCTTGGGGGCATGCAGCCACCCTGGTGTCCAGCTGGCTTGGACCCGAGGCATCCATGGCCTTAGTGGCATCCAGATTGGCGGTCATGCTGTCTCTGATGGCCAGTCACCAATGGTGTCTTTTTGTTTGCTTTTTAGAACACAGCCATATTTTTCAAATAGTAATAATAACTATTTATATTTGACTTTGCAAAATGTTTAGCATGTGAAAACAACTATCCATGTAGTTACAATGTCACTATAAGAATTTTCCTTTTCCCCCCTTCTACCCCCGAGTCAGGTTCTCACTCTGTCACCCAGGCTGGAATGCAGTGGCACAATCATGGCTCACTGCAGCCTCAAACTCTTGGGCTCAAGGGATCCTCCTGCCTTGCTTCCAAGTAGCTAGGACTTGTGTGCGCCACCATGCCCGGCTAATTTTTGTATTTTTTTGTAGAGACAAGGGTCTCAATGTGTTGACCAGGGTGGTCTGGAACCCCTAGCCTCAAGTGATCCTCTTCCCTTGGCCTCCCAAAGTTAATTTTACTTTTTAAAAAGATATTTGTAACAGCCTTGTTGAGGTATGATTGATCTACCTAACCTGCAAAACCTGCATTTAATGTGTAAAATTTGATGAGTTTGGACATATGCAAATAGCCCTGAAACCATCACTACAATAAAAAAAACAGCCATCAGGCCGGGCGCGGTGGCTCATGCCTGTAATCCTAGCACTTTGGGAGACCGAGGCGGGCAGATCACAGGGTCAGGAGATCGAGGCCATCCTGGCTAACACTGTGAAATCCCATCTCTACTAAAAAATACAAAACAAAATTAGCCGGGCGTGGTGGCGGGTACCTGTAGTCCCAGCTACTCGGGAGGCTGAGGCAGGAGAATGCCGTGAACCCGGGAGGCAGAGCTTGCAGTGAGCCGAGATCGTGCCACTGCACTCCAGCCTGGGCAACAGAGCAAGACTCCGTCTCAAAAAAAAAAAAAAAAAGGTGGCCATCAATGGCCAGTCAAGGTGACTCACACCTGTAATCCAAGCCATTTGGGAGGCCAAGGTAAGTGGATTGCTTGAGCCCAGGAGTTAGAGACCAGCCTAGGCAACATGGCAAAACTCTGTCTCTACATATAATACAAAAATTAGCCAGGCAAGGTGGCACATGCCTGTAGTTCCAGTCACTTGAGAGACTCAGATGGGAGGATTGATTGAGCCTGGAAGGTCGAGGCTACAATGAGCCATTGTCATGCGACTGCACTCCAGACTATGGGACAGAGATCCTGTCTCCAAAAAAAAAAAAGTCAATTCCAAAGCTTCCTCATGCCCAGTTGGTTTTTTGCTGTTTTGCTTTTTGGAGATCTTTTTGGTGAGAACCCTTAAGATGAGATCTGATCTCTTAGCAGCATTTTCAAGTGCACAGAATAGTATATGAACTATTGCTTTTTTTTTTTTTTTTTTTTTTTTGAGGCAGAGTTTTGCTCCTGTTGCCCAGGCTGGAGTGCAATGGTATGATCTCGGCTCACTGCAACCTCCACCTCCTGGGTTCAAGTGATTCTCCTGCCTCAGCCTCCCAAGTAGCTAGGATTACAGGTGTGCACCACCACGCCCGGCTAATTTTTTGTATTTTTATTAGAAACGGGGTTTCTCCATGTTGGCCAGGCTGGTCTCGAACTCCTCACCTCAGGTGATCCACCCACCTCGGCCTCGAAAAGTGCTGGGATTACAGGCATGAGCCACGGTGCCCGCGTATATGCATTACTGTTAACTCTAGGCACAGTGTTGTACAGCAGGTCTCTAGAGAGTATTCATTTTGCATAAATGAAACTACCCCTTGAATAGCAGCTCCCACCTCCCCCTGCCCCAAGTCCCTGGCAGCCATGTTTCTTCTCTCTGCTTCTCTGAGTGCCCATGGCTCGTCATAGGGGAGCAAAGCTCTGCAAACCACCTCTCAGCCATGTCCATTCCTTCCTCCTTGGCCCTTGTAGTGAGCTGAACCATGACTCCCAAAAAGATAGGTGTATGTACTAACCCCCAGAACTTGAGAATGTGGCCTTATTTGGAGACAGGGTCTTTGCAGATATAATTAAAGATCTTGAGATGAGATCATCCTAGATTATTCAAGTGGGCCCTAAATCCAATCACAAGCGTCTTTAGAAGAAACAGAAGACACAGAGGAGACAGCCATGTGAAGGCAGAGGCAGAGATGCGAGCGATGTGGCCACAACCAAGAAGCATCAGGAGCCCGCAGGAGCTGGAGGAGGCAGGGAGGGTTCTCCCTAGAACCTCCCAGGGAGTGCGGCCCTGATGA